TTAAATGGTACTGCGCAACACTGAGGGGTGTTTCTATTATTTTGTCCACTCTGCACAATGACTACTTTTACTGTCGCTACTTTCACTATATTTTGATGCTTTTTATACTTTGAGCAACATTTTGTAGGACTTTAAGTTGTGACAGAGTACTACTACATGTTCTACTTTTACTGAAGTACAAGATCTGAGTACTTCTCCCACCTTTGATGTTTTGTAACGTTTATTAGAACAACAAATATGGCATTCGGTGTCATCAGATGTTTATCTTCTTTTACCCCTAATTCAATTCAATAGTAACCATTTACTTTTATTTGTTCAGAGGATATTTTGCCACCTTCCGAACAAGGAAAGGTGAGTTTGAAGTGTTTGTTGTTATGTCCCTATATGTTGTTTGTGTATGTCTTTGTAATATTGGCCTTTTTGATATGTGTTGTGTAATGCAGATTTTCATCAGGTCCCTTTTGAACCTTTGTGTTTTCAGTCCAACTAAAAAAGTGGAAAAGTGGCTGCTGAGAATGGTGGACTTGGGTGAGTTTGATTGTTTTGCTTGAATCTGTTTTTAGTTTGCATTTTCCTGATGTTAACTTATACTTCTTGTATTCTGTTCAGATCCACTCTACGATGACCAGTTACCCTCATCTCCTCGGTACGTGACCTTTAATGTTGAGGCAAACCAGAGTGAGAGGGAGGCTTCAAGCGGCCCTCAAAAAGGGAAACTAATGGGAACAATTCTAAAAGGTCACATGGTAATGAACAGTCCATCACTACAGTGACTTCTGCTAATAAAACAAATGACTCTTCACATTGGAAATGGCTGATGAGCCAGTAGATACACAGCTAGTTAGTTTATACATTCAGCATGCGTTATCTGTGTATAGGCTTTGTGTACCTTTCTTGAATTACACAAGAACTGGTGTCTGAAGACAGAATGAGTCTTTGAATATATGTTTCATAACCTTTTTAGGGTCCCAAAGGAGATGAAATGCACCCCTCAAGGTCACCCAGTCCTAAACTAGTCATCGGTAAGAGACTCAAACCAACATTTGACTTGTTCTTCTCCTCTGCACCTTTTCTGTTTCTTCAAGTATCCTGATGTTGTTGTTACAGATCAGGACATCCCATTCAAAGCACACATGCCAGCGAAGACATCCAGCCCTATTGACATAAATATGGCTGTCAAAGCGCTCGACATTGAAAAAGACCGAGCTATGTCTCCACTTCTGTTTGCCTGTGAGGAAGATGGAGACGCAAAGACAGAGCCTCCACCCAATGGACACGTCACAGAGGAGTGAGTTATTAATCATGCTTTTCGTATAGGAACGTTGGTTTTATGAGGTGTAGGATTCTAGTGTCTAAAACTAAGAAAGTATTTTATCACTTGTTTCATTCAATAACTGTCTTTTCCTCTAGAAGTATAGACTTTGAGTTTGAGTCTCCTCCAAGCAAGGTGGTAATAAGCAGACCTAAGAGGTCCAGTGAGCAAAATAAGGTGGAGGAAGCACGGTAAGAGCATTTTCATTATCAATATAATTAGGGATGCTCCGATCGCCCATCTTGGGGCCGATCGCCGGAATCAGTATCGGCCGATACCGATCGCCGATCGAGTGGGCGGGGCCTATGGGGATCTTCCATTTAAAGTGATGTTTAAAACTCAGTTAATGCTCATTCACTGCAGCTTCCACAAACAACAACCAACATAAATATTACACTAAAATGAAGTACATTATTCAAGTTTACATTAACTTTGGAGAATAACACGGGAGAAATGAGCGGAAGCGCTCTCTTTTCCTCTCTCTCTCTCTCTCTCTCTCTCTCTCTCTCTCTCTCTCTCTCCTGACAGCCCATCTGTATCTCCAGCAGCTCACTGATCCAGTAATGACTGAGTGACCCGACAGTGAAAAATAAATATATGTATAACTAGTGTAGCTTGTTCCAGAGGTAGATCAAATAGCTAAGTGTGTTAGGTCTAACTCTTAGTGTGTTGCTCCGCTCACCGGTCCGTCACAGCGGGCGCAGCTGCAGGATTTCTGCTTCACACACGTTGCATACCGCTATTTTACTGTCTTTTTCGGACACCTTAAAATACTGCCAGACCGGCGAAGCCGTTTTGGCGAGCTTGTTTTGCCGCCCACATATTATATATATTGGGAGGGATGAAACCCTCTTTAATGGTCACACATGCAGAGCACACAGCACACACAGTGAAATGCGTTCTCAGAGAGAGTGAATATCGGCCTTATTTCGGAAAAATTATGTATTGAAGTCAATGGGAAGAGAAAGATTATCTTTTGATCCCGTTTGAATTGTGCCATGAATTACTCATATGATGTTTATCAATCTTAAAAAATCATTTCCATGTGAAAAAAGTCGGTTTGTCGTAAAACTGTTGAAATATAAGACTATGAAAAGTACGCAACTAGAANGAAAGATTATCTTTTGATCCCGTTTGAATTGTGCCATGAATTACTCATATGATGTTTATCAATCCTTAAAAAATCATTTACAGGTGAAAAAAGTCAGTTTGTCGTAAAACTGTTGAAATATAAGACTATGAAAAGTACGCAACTAGAATGACTACAAATCCCAGAGTCGCGTAACGCAGCGTCCACACGGCGGTTTGATTGGCTAGAGCTTGTACTGGCATATGATTTGATTTGCTGACGCTACCAAAACCTAACAGTTTCACCCACTGTCTCTGCCACCTCCCTCCATGCCTGGTTTGTATCCCGGTAAATAGTTCTGGTCGTAAAGAACCGGGTGATTTGCTACCGTAATTTCTCGTTTGGAATATGAGGAAATGAACTGCGGTCTGGCTCTCCCAGCTTGCACGCGGTTTGATTGGCTAGCGCTTGTACTGTCAGATTTGCATAAACAGGATTTGATTGGCTGACGCTTCCAGCTCAGCTTCAAAAGTTGAACATGGCTCAACTTTTGAATCCTGAAAATCCTGGAAATCTTCGCTTTGCTTCCCCACAATGCAGTTCGGCGAAAAGCGAGGCAAAGTGACGTCACCCCCATTCAAAGTCAATGGGCAGAGAAGCGTTGGAAGATTTTTTTAAAGCTGCTGTGTGGACGGTGCGTTACTCATTCTTTCGCTTCCCGTCTGATGAAAGGACTAGGAGTGGCTGGATCAAGTTAGCTACCTAGCTAGTAGCAAGCACGTTAGTTTGCATTACAGCCTTAGCCTTGTCATTTTTATTAGCCTTAACATAAAGTAACATTAATTTAACCAAAGTGTTAAACAGTAAGAGTAGTAGTCATATTTCGTGAACCCTTTGAAGAGTACTGTCACACCGTTGTGATCATTCTATAATACACCGTTTAAGCCCGGATGCCCCCAAGAGAGACATGCTAACGCTACATTAGCATCGGCGATCTTTTCTACTTCATGCTATCTGCACAAATGGTTGACATTGAACATTAAAAAGATCCGGCAGTTCAGAGAGAATCGAAGGAAGGCAGGCAGCTTCACATGACATTCTTCTGGACGTGTTTCGTGATGGTGAGGGTAGTTAATCCCTTTTTTGGCAAGACAGTAGTGACGGCCATCTTGGTGACGTGTGTTGTTCTGCGAGACCAGAGATGTAGTTCATTGAGCGGTTTCACACACAAAAAAAAGTCTTATTTCACAGTTTTATAGCAAAAAAAAATGTTTTACTTGCAAAATTACCTTTTAAATTGACAAACATCATATGTGTAATTCGTGGCACAATTCAAACGGGATCGAAAAATAATCTTTCTCTCGCCATCGACTTCAATACATACTTTTTCTGAAATAAGGTCCCATGGAGGTCCACCGGAAGGGGAGGGACTTCGCCTCTATGGTCAATTTTGTTATGTTATCTGCCCTTTAATTGCGTGCTACTGAGTTACATTTGTGGATGTTTGCCTTTTTTAGATGAGTGTGACTTTTAACTAATTTACCTGTGATGTATATTCTCTTCTTTCCTGCAGCAAAGAGAGTCAAACTCTAAAAATAAACCCACCGCAGAAACCTCAAACACCTGTTGTGGAGGTCCAAAGAAAAACACCAAGGTAGGAAGTGAAGAGTGTTTGATGAGTAGTTACTATTATGTTTTGGTGATTAAACAATACTGGAGTTGGTACAACAAAATATGTTATGTGGCAAAAATATTTAACAATTGTCATAGAATATACATACGGTATGGCTAACAAAAAATAACTTAAGTTAGTTATACATGTGCAGCTCACACAATGTTTTATCTATATAATCTAGCAATAAAGCCTATTGTGCCAATTTAGAACTTAATTTTGTTATTTGAAGAATATTTTGGTTGTTTATCTCCAGGATAGAAATGGTAGACCCCCCCGCAGCAGCAGTGAGACGAGAGCCTGAACTCGCAGCTCCTGAGAAAAGAATTGAAACTGTTCCAGAGCAGCCGTTAGTGGAGCCCGTCCGCGTGCATAAAAACATCGCGGCTTTTCTTCAGAAGCTCAGAGATGCCGCACAGTCCAAACCTGCATGGTGAGTTGGCAAAACCACGATATATATTTACAAAGTAATGGCTCTACATATGTAATATTAAATAGTACTTATTTTTAGTACGAGGAAGTCTGCATCACCCATGAAAGTACCCACTCCTCCTCCTGAACCAGAGGATGATTTCCTGATTCTGGAGGACGACCCTGCTCCTTTTTGGGTTTCCATCCGGAGTAAAACTGCCAAGAAACAGAAACGGAGCGGAACGACCAGCATCGTCAAAGGCAGCGTGACAGATAAAAGCACGAAGAGAAGCTCAGCTGAGACACAGCAGGAACCTGAAGAGACGGAGAGAAAACCAAGAGCGCCCAGTGGCAAACGGAAGACGAAGAAAACGAAAGAGAAGAAGAACGAGGTGACCGAGGCTGAGGAGGAACTACCCGGTCCTGAGGAGCCTCCTGTGGACTCGATAGACGAGAAGAGGCCAAACGAGAAGAAGCCAAACGAGAAGAAACAAGGACTGAAGAAGGTACCGTCTGAAGACAGCGACGAGGAAGAGGAGCCGCCGAAAACAAGCAAGGAAACACAGGAAGATGAACCCGCTGTGAGAATAGATAAGAAAGCTCTTTACTCAAAGACTTTAAAAGATGCCAAGACGAGCAGAGCTAAGCCGATGAAGACGGGCAAAAAAGTGCCGCAGGGATCTGATGGAGAAACGGACAAGGCTTCAAAGAAACAAGGTCCGAGCAGCGAGGAAGTGGGGGCTACAGACCTGGGGGCTCTTTCAGGTAAACAACTCCTAAAATCTCTTCATACGTGTTGAGTACTTTTCCCTTTTTAGTTCCGATAGTTCCTGGGATTTTGCGTTCACACCAAAAAGAGAACTTAGTTCATGAGAACTTTTCCCCCCTTTTCAGTCGCTGCTAGAGAGGTGGTACTTTCCTGGGGAGGAAAAGTTATAGAAAAAGTGAAAGAAGCTAAACAAAAAGGAAAGACGAGAGACGACCTTATCAAATTAATACGCTGAAAAATTGTTGGTTTGAATCGTTGCCTGATGAAAAGACATTCATTCCTGGGTCAAAGAAGGAGTGAGTGGACTCGACAGCGACGTCGAGAGACGAAACTCTCGTGTTGCCGCCGACCCTGACGTTGTAGCAGGACAGGGGGGAAGGAGGAGAGGACGACGGAGGAGTTTTCCGAACGATGGTCAGGATTCTGGAGAAGGGACTCAAAGAGGACGGACATAAGACAAAGAAAAGAACGGGAAGATAAGCAGAAGACTGAAACACCGACGTCGTCCGACACAGCCTAAATACAAGAAAGTGGGAAACAAGGAAAAGTCACACTCGAGTGACCACGAGGACCAAACCCGAAGCAACATGAAGCAATACGTCGACTAGTCTAAAACAGGAAAAATCGGATCGCCGCACTCGACGACGAACGACCGACGAACGCGAACCGAGACACAAAAACGCGCAACGGAGAAGTGAAAGCCGACCACGGACTAATGACAGCAAAGAAGACCCGAGACGTTAAGTAGTGGTGAGAGCCGAAGGAGGGAGGAGGAAGGTCCCCCCCACAGTTGACAGCAGTCCAACTTTGAGGAATCTGTGGTGTCCATCAGAACATAAACATAGGAAAATTGTAAGCGCTTAGGAGCAGACAAACACGAAGCCCTAAGTACCTAAAGAAACAGCGACGTCTTCTTTTCGGTAGAATTCTTCCTACGATTTTACGAAGATATTCAGGAGTCCCAGATGGATAAGATCTTCCTGCCTAGGGATATTCGGCAACTCTGTAACTGTAATGTACGGAACAATCTGCGAAAATAGGTTCACCATGAATGTATGAGCTATGACACCCGTTAGGGGTGTCGTCGGAACCCGCACTTCACACGAGTCCCGCTGGTATGCTGTACGACTGGACGGTCACCCAACTTGGACGACTGGGGACTAGGGCGGTGACGCCGGTGTCGGAGGGCGTAGACTAGAACGGTACAAAACATGCCTAACACATAGACCAATAAAAAGATTACCCAATTAATGCGCACTGGCATGTTGTAGACAGAAGCTCCTGCTATGTCATACTTTTTTTCAGAGCCCCCGTTGAGACTCAATTATGATTATTTATCTCTTTTGTAACGTATTAGCCGAGTGTTTTCTTGTTAGTGATTTCCATATTTGTGAGCTACTTAATAGACAGTCATCGAAAGGTGGACAGAGTAAGTGTTTATAACTAACGAGACGAATTTACAGCCCCCGATGTAATCGTCGTGTGTTGAATTGTTGTACAACCAATTGGTTCATCTGTCTTTCCTAATTTATCGGCATTGAATCAAAGGGGTACTTGATTTCTCACTCTAGCGCGATAGGATCCTTTCTACCGTTTACTTCCGCGACTGCAGTGAACGAAGAAAAGACGAAGACGAAACCCCACATTGACCCGTCCCGGCGTTTGTTCGAGTGCCGGCCATAGTACGGTGGCTTCAGGGCCGTCTTCAGGCCCAACCCCTGACGTAAGTCATCCTTCGACGACCTGAGGGTCGGTCGAGTGAACCTCGGAAGCTCATTTAGCGGCTTACGGCTGTGGAGGAGAGGTTGCCTCTTCAATCAGAGAAAGCAACACCGCCCCGATTACGATTATTCACGACTTACGGTCGCCCGAAGGTTTTGAAAGGCTCCGAAAATGCCCCGCACCAAAACGTTAACGCGGGTCGTT